GTGATGATAAATAATTGTCCCCCCTCTTTGAAGGCATATGATTCCCTAAATGTAACTAAAGCCCAGCAGTGAGGAGCTGAACTTTACCCTCCTCTGCTGTCACTGCAGACTGGCAGGGTCGCCTACAGAGCAGCGCTAGTATCTGATAATGAAGTAACGTTCTTCTTTATTTGAGGGTCCCATTTCATAGGGAAGATTTCAACCACTACCTGATGTAACTCAGTTCTAAAGGGCAAGGTGACACTCGAAAATAAGGGGTAGGGGTAAAAATAAGAAATGGGACTGGGCCAACTGTGTGTAGGCTGTGCTTAGATGGAAAGAGTTACTGTGTGTACAGCTGCATTACAAATAGTATGTGCATTGATTGGTACATATAATTACATTCTACAGTTCAGTGATGCACGCCAATGCAAATATGTGCAGTAAAGGTTGTGCTGAATTGATCGCGTAGATTAAGAACAGGCTGTGGTGGTATGTACTGTTTAATGGAGTAGTCCAGTTGGTCATAGAGGAGCAATGGGAAGCTGGAAGCACTGAAAGATCCATCAGGACTGTGTATATGGGAGCACTCTTTTTTTCTTTTTTTTCCCCGTAGGAACCGCGCCTCTCAATCAGAGACCAACTAGATGGACACAGACCCCTTTTGACTATAAATTGTAAGACATGTGCCGTCTAATAAATGTTCACTCGCCTTCATATATTGCTCCCGTGTCCTTGTGACCGTGTACGGTTTGACTTGCCTCTGCCCTTCAGCAACCTATTTTTCTGAGCAGCAGGCAATTACCAGCCCTTCTAGAGGGCAAGTCGCTTTGCTGACAGCTTAGCTCAGAATTTAAAAGCTGTTCCACGGCAGAAGAAAGCACAATCATGGACCAGCGGTGTGTATACTGTAGAAGGAAAATCGCACCCTCAGTGCCTCCATCTAAACGGTTGTGTCCAAAAGTATTAGTTGTACCATCACAACAGAAATGCTGCCTAATCAGTGCTGTGACTTCATCATGTAATGTGCACAGATTCAATAAGCAGAAAAGAAATGAGAATTTAATAGGAATCTCCATACAAGGCCAAGACTCAAGGCTAAATTGAAACACCTCAAAATCGCTTTATAATTCACCATTCATCAGAATAACGGGGCTTGTGACTCTGCAGGAACATGTGGGGAAAGAATCAAAATCAGTCCTTTGTTTACAGTTCACGCAATACTGACGCGCTGCTAAATATTCTCAGTAAGCATTATGAGTTTTAAATTGGGCAGCACGCTGAGTGAGCAGAGTCAAATGCTTTGCATTCGCATGCAGACCGTGAGTACAGTTGGCATACATTCCAATCAGTTGAGTTCAACTTAATTTCATTAAATTTGTATGGGTCTTTTTACAGCAGCCATTGAAGTACAGTAGACTCCTTTTTATGTTCATGGAACTTGTTTAAGACTTCAGTTTTGTGAGCCTTAAGGCACTTTATCGTGCTGGAAGTAGCCATTAGAAAATATAAATTGTGGCTGTAAAGGGATGCACAAGGTCAGCAACAATACGCAGATAGTCTGTGGCTTTCAAGCGATGCTTGATTGCTGTGTAGGGACCCCTGTGTGAGTCAAAAGAATGTTACCCTCACCACTGAACTGCTGACACAAGGCAGGTTGGTGTTCACAGACTCACGCTGTTGAGGCCAAATTTTAATGATTTTTCCATCTTGATGCGTCCAGTCTTGGTGAGACTGCGTCCGCTGTAGCCTTAGATTCCTGTTCTCGGCTGACAGGAGTGGATCCTGATGGGGACTCCTGCTGTTGTAGCCCATCCTCCTCGAGGTTCAACATGTTGTTTTCTGATCACCACTGTTGTAAAGAGTGGTTATTGGAGTTACCGTAGCCTGTCAGCTCAGAACAAGTCTAGTCTTTCTCCTCTGACCTCCCTTATATTAACAAGGTGTTTAGGCCCACTGAACTGCGGCTCCTTTGCTGCCCTTTTGCAGCTCCACAGCAGAATTTAATTTTTTAGGTAAAAATAAAATAATCCTCCTTTCCAATAAAATAAAGCTCTGCTGGTTGTTGTAACACAGTTTTGGAATAATGGTCTTAAATGCTGGAGTTTATGTAGCCTATAACTGGTAATTCACCAGCTTTTGACCCTAAAGGTTGGTGCGCAGACTGCTGGTCACCATAGCAACACAGACAACAATCTCACCTTGCTAGTAGCTGATGAAAAGGCAAAGAGAGAGATCTAAGATGAACGTAGATAATTTGGAGATGAATGGACGTATTTGTGTTTATACTCACTCCAGCTGGCTTCCTGATACGTTTATTCTAAAACAAGAAACTCTTACTTTGTGTTAACACCGGCAGCGACTTTAACCTCTTGGCGCCCAAATCGCTGGTTGCTCATCGCCTGTGGGCGTTTCCAAACTCCAGCGGACCGTTGGTTGCCATGGTTTCACTGACTCCAAGCACAAATCAGATGTGTTCTCACTACAAATAAAAATCCTGGTGAGAAATCGCTTGTTTTTATTTAATCTCTTACTTAATCCGCCCAATTCGCCTCGCCAACGATCACGTTGCCTCCTATTGCCAGAAATCGCCAGCTTTCATTGGAAATGAATGATCTCTGACCACCTTGTCGCGTCGCGTTGCTGACGGCGTGAATGCAGGGTTAAACGCCAAAAAGTCACGAAGCTGAAGTCAGCTTCTGGGCTGAATTTTCCCGTTCCACCTTAAATGGTGCAGCTGTTACATTCTGGTGCCTTAAGCACTGTTTAAGGTGGAACGGGAAACTTCAGCCTCGTAAAAACTGAACTTTGAGAGACAATTTACAAGAAACCGTTCTACTTTTGTGGAAAAGTTTCCTGCTGGAGATGCGAGAAAAGCGGCTATAGCTGAGCTAAAGTAAGTCTGTGTTTTACATTTATATTCTATTTTTTATCCTGTACTACTACATCAGCACACACTGAGAGATGTTTACAGACAAGATGGCAAAATTCATTTTTGTTGAAAGGATTAAAAAACATTTGGATTGCCAACTTCTGCTCTAGAGACTGTCATGCGTGAAAATCCCAGATCAGCAGTTTGTGAAATGCTCAGGCCACCCCATCTGGCACCAACAACAGTGGAAGTCACTCGTATCACATTTGTTCCTTGTTGTGATGTTCGATGTGAACCTTAACTGAAACTCTTGACCTGTGCATGCATGATTTTACACATTGTGCTGCTGCCACATGATTGGCTGATTGGATAATTGACTGAGTGTACAGGTGATCTTAATAAAGTGTCCAGCGAGTGCTTGTTGTTTATTGTTATCAAGATATTGGCCTTGGAATATGGAATATGCAAATAAGAAATCATAAAATTAAATGGATATTTTGATGAATCAACAGTGTCATATTAAGGGGTCACCACTTGTTAATATATTACAGAGTATCAGTGTCACAGTGTGTAGCAGTGTAATAGCAGTATGCTGTTTTGTACCTGTCATCCAGCCATAATGAAGTTATTTAGACAATTAGTTATTCAAATATGCTAATGAGGCTCATGTTCAGTATTAGCAACTTTAGCTTTTTTGGGTGTAGTATTTCATCAAGGCCATGTGTTGGTGTAAAAACAGGATGATGGCTACACGCAGAGCGTGCAGTGTGTAAGCAGAACTGTGCAGCAGGTTTCTCTCCACAGGGTGTGTGTGGCTGAGCGTGTGTGCGATGGGGCTGCTGTGGAATCCAGCCTGCGGGGGGGGGGATGGGCTTCAGAGCCCTCCAGATGTTGGGAGTAGAGAGAGTATTTTCGGATCATTTAAACGCTTGTCCCTGTGGCGGAGACGAGGGGGTGAAATACAGGGGAAAATACAAAGAGAGAGAGATGAAGAAGTAAAGAGTGTGCTGCATCCTGAAGAGGGGGATGGGGAAAGATGAAAGGATGCAAATGCATAGAGGACAGTAACCAGCCAGTGAGTCTCTCTCTCTCTCTCTCTCTCCCTCTCTCTCTCAGTTCATCCTCATGAATGTCATTCAGTTGTCTTTTTAAGTCTAATCCTCCAGGCGTCCTCAGTCACACTGCAGACAAGAATGCACATCTGCCTTCTCCTCTTTGACCTCTATCTCAGGATATTTTGGCTGGAGGAACCAGCTAACACTCAAGATTTATGACTGCTCTTCTGCTGCTTTATTGTCATCTCTGCTTCTGACGTTTTGACTACACTGCCTCCCTTAACTGACCACATGGTTCCATATCAGGAGGAACACAAACGGTTCTGTACTACTCAGTTTAGAGACGCCTGTTGATACCAAGTGCACATCAGAGACCGGAGTACAGTTGGAGAAAGTCCTTTTAATCATTATTGGATACTGAAGCACAATCATTATTACTTTTGGTAATTCTGAATTTGAGAATCAAAAAATTTCCTAATTATTCCTTTCATTTCTCTCTTAGTAACAGCTTCATTATGGCACGATGCCTTTGTAGTGCTGCTAACGTAAAGATGCACCTGCCGCTGTTAATGTACAGACTTATGTAAAAATTCAGGCTCTCGTGGTCAAATGACATATTTTGTTGATTTTCTAGCTGAAAATAAGTGAACACATCCTCTACAGACACTTCTGCACATTTTAATGCACAATTATTGTGTATTTGCTGAATTTAACATATTTGGAGGTGGAATAACTCATTAATGTGGCCTTAAAATGTGGCCTGTATAAAAGTTGTGGCACATTTTTGTTTTGTTTTTTTGTAATATATTAAACAAATAAATATAAATTGTCCACTAAAATTTGCAGAAAAGTGTCATGTTTAAGTGTGTTCACTGTAGAAGATGCCTTAACTTACTTTCACTTAAACCATTAACAAAACGTAATCCAAACATACTTGTGTGTGTCTGCATCCTGACAAAAACGTGATAGAAGACAGACAAAGCCACGTTTTTGGAGCTACACGGTTTTGTGCCGACAGCGACAATATATATTTGAAAACACGTTTGATCCTAAGATCTGGTAATAATGTGTGTGCGTCTGTTTATGTGTTTCAGGTGTCCGGCATCGTTGGGAGAGCAGATGTGTTGGCCAGTATGTTGTTCCTCCTGGCCTTTCTCTCCTATATTAGGTAAGAATGTCATCCTGTCTTATCTGCTCTACTTCCCACATCTCACAAGCGCTCTCTGTTTGACCACGCCAACTTTTCCTCCTTTTTTTTTATTTATTTATTTTTTTATTTTTATATAACTGTAGTAACTAGGCCTGGCCCAAACAGCACTTTACAGGTTTTGAAAACTTGTTAATATTTCTGAGCGAGTACTCAAATATTTGTTCTCAAGTTCTCAAGTAAAAACAATAATATTTCAAAGGAGTTTTTTGTCATCTGTCTGGCATAACAAATACGCTTCCATCTTAATCGTAGAATCCACCAAAGAGCTCTAATGACCTGTCGCGTTTTTTCTCAATTGCGTAAACTCTTTAATATACTCTTAATTAACTCTTTAATATAATTACTAATTATCTGCTAAATTTAACATATTTGAAAAAATAAAGCAAAGTGTGAACTGGGCAAAAGTTATGGCACATTTTATATTTTTTCCCAAAATGTTAAACTCAGGAAATATATAAAAATTGTGTAGAAAAGCTCTAAGTTACTTTTGCTTAGAAAATCAACAAACTTGTAATTTGACTGGGTAATTTGTTTAGACTTTTGCGTGCGATTGTAACTGTACGCTCTCTGCGCCAGCTTTAAACTGACCCAACATTTTCTAGGTTTAGTAGATGAACAAATATGATGTAATACATTTTTCTTCATCTCCCCTGCAGGAGTGTGTCAGGGTGCTGCACGGCGGACTCGTTCCCCTCGACGGTGTCTCCATGTTCTCTAGCACTCTCCCTCTTCCTGGGCACCTGTGCCATGCTGGTCAAAGAGACGGGCATCACCGTCTTCGGAGTGTGCGTCCTCTACGACAGCCTGGTGCTCTGCTGCAAGCCCTTCCTCTCGTATGTATATGCCGTTAGTGTGTTCGTAAGAGTCCGTGTGCAGTTTGTTACCGTGCGGAATTCTGAACCGGCATTATCAGGGTGACCTGGCAAGGCGTCGCTCTGCTCAAAGCGCGGAGCGGCTGGGGAGCGCGTGGGTGTTCATGCTCGTCAGCAGGTGCCGTGCTAATGCTTCCTGCTTCCACTGCTCTCATGCTGAGTCTGAGACTGCAGACTAATCCATTCACCACAGCCTAATGGAATAGATGAGGGTATTTTGCCTAACCAAAGTCCTTCACCGCAGTGGTAGCATGTTAGCAGTTCACATGTGTTTAACCCTTCTAGCTCCCCTGTGGCTTGAAATGTGGCTTCTTGCGTTTTGTTTAGTTATCCCTCACTTTGAAACGAGGAAGCGTGTTCATAAGTAGAACAGATGTATTGTTTGCGTACGTCTTGTTTTGTGGAAGAAAATGTTTTTTGTAATTTTTTACAAGTATGCAGGCCCAAACTTGTCGGTGAAGAATGTAAATCAAATGTAGATTCATGTAACTAACTTCAATTAAAGGGGAATTCCACCAATTTTCAAAAAAGTCAGCATTAGTAGTTCGGTATCTTACTCTTTTATCATAAAAGGTTGTAGCATGGCCTGTGCTACCCAGGGCTCAGGAAGGATGCAGGAGGCAGGAGAAATGTCTGCAGCAGCAATTCCAACTTTATTTTCACACCAAACCAACACAAATAATGAAACCAAAGCTTTCCAGCCTTTCGCTGCTGCTGCTCATCCCTCCTCTCTCTCTCTTTTTCGTCTCTGCTCTTTTAAGGCAGCATGAGCTCCTGAGCCGAGAGGGACAGAGAGCCTGTTGCTCCACCTCCCTGTTGCTTGTCTTCCACGTGTCTTGTAGGATGGCGGGTCAATCAGAGCTGTACTTGAAGCTCGAAGGGCTCGAGGTACAGTTTGAGTTTTGGCCATTGCCGTTCGGGAGGGAGGGGCTGGTCTGTTCTTGGCTTTGTAGACATCAGGGTTTTAAATCTGATGCGTGCAGCTAGAGGAAGCCAGTGAAGGGAGCGCAGCAGTGGGATGACCTGACTGAACTTAGGAAGATTGAAGACGAGTCGTGCTGCTGCATTCTGGATGAGTTGTAGGGGCTTGATGGCCGCATAGGAAGACCAGCCAAGAGCGAGTTGCAGTAGTCAAGCCTTGAGATGACAAGAGACTGCACTAGCATCTGGGTGGCCTCTCGAGTGAGAAAGGGTCGGATCCTCCGGATGTTGTACAGGAGAAACCTGCATGACCGAGTTAGGTTCGCAATATGAGCTGAGAACTATAACTGCTCTTCCAGAATCACCAAGACTTCGCGCATCTTCAGACGGAACGATCAGAGAGTTCTCGAATGAGATAGGAAGAACATGATGAGGACTTATAGTTGCAGGGATGAATAGCAGCTCAGTCTTGCTAGGATTGATCATAGTGCACACCACAGCTTTTCCTGCAGTCCTAATAGATTAGTTTAAAAAAATAGAGATGACATTTGAATCGTATCTCTAACAGAACAGAGTGTTGCAGCGGTGGGCTACTGCTCTAAAATACTTGCATTGTATTAATTTTACTGCATGTGTAACCCTTCAGAAATAAATATTTTATTTCTCTATAATGATAATCCAGGTAGATTTAGTCCCAAATTCTGCCTTTTATATGTTTATATCAGCATTTGGAATGTGTATGGGCAGATATGGTCATGAAAATATCAAATATCTCCATCATGATTCCCATATCAGCACATCCCCCTTAAAATGCATTATATCAGCAGAAGCAGAATAGGTGCATTTTGAAGTTAACACAGCCTGCGTGAAGCCCCTGTGCACGTTATCCTCTTTGTGTCTCTGGAATGAAGTGGACTGGACTGGAATGTTTATGGAGAATTCCACTGAGGGGCTTAGCAGAGTGATGGGCCATATGCTTTCAATCCTGCTCCTGCCTGGGAGGAGCTATGAATTACCACCCGCCATCCGTCAGACTGAAAGCCGGACAGCAACGGCAGCCGCATCCTTGCACGTACAGAGAGAGGGGAAGGGAGGAAGGGAGACAGAGGGAAAGAAAAGAACAGATGAAAAGAAAGAGGGGGAGTTTGCTTGGGCTGCTTTTGAAGAACAATGAGTTTATTTTCTAAGTACTGAATGTTCACTTTGTCAAAAGACAACAATCAGATTGGTTACACTGTGGGCCCTCCAGCAGGATGAGGTCTTTTTTCATTGCAGAACCCACCAAGGCTGCACAGACATCTTTGTGGTGGACAACTGGGACATATTACAGTTAGAGTTGTCACTATCAATTAGTTTTTATTGTTTGTGTACTTATATAATTTTAATAATAATTTTATTGTATTAATAATCAACTAACCTACAGACTATTTTGACAATGAATTCCACTGATTTTCTAAATTTCTGTATGATTTGATCATTAACACATAAACAAAGTCATTCAGGGTGGTTTGACTTGAAATGCTTCATTCTAGAGAAACGTACAGAGCCAGAATTGTTCACAGTGGTGGTGATGAGAACCAGACGTTGAATGCCTCTAAAAGCTCTCTCACAAGAAGGTACTGCATAAAATGGTTATGAATATACTGCCTGATGCCTGAGACATGGTTTTACACTAGTTATGAGATTACGTTTTGGCCTTAAGCATGTTTTTTTATATTTATTTTTGACTATTAATGGCAGAGAGGTGGTCTCTCTGGTCAATTTGGGTAGTAAAAAAAAATGGCTATATGACGTGGTGACCCCTGGTTTCTATCATCACCACTGTAAAGAAACCTAAGTCAGTAAGTTTCTTCACAATAAACCATTTCACATCAAACCACTCCAAATAGCTTTGATTACATCTCCACCACAGAATCATGCAGACATTTTGAAAACTTTAACTGAGTAATAACTGTGCATATCCACCCCAAATATTCCAGAACACTTTATGTAAATACGATAATCTAAGAAGCCTTTAAAAAAGAATCAAATAAATACGCTGTGTCAGATAAATGGGTGTGTTCATCAGGCTCTGTTTCTGTAAGAGACCAGTAGAATAAAGCAATGAGGCATAAGAGGCTGTGTGTTACTGTGATTTTATCACGGGAAGGGTGAAATCACAGTAACGCACGGCCTCAAGTGCCTTATTGCTTCAATAAAACGGCGGCCAACATAAAATATGATAAAATGCACACATTTTTCAGAAAATAATTGCTATTATTAATAATAATTGACATAAAAAAGTATTCAGCCAAGAAATGTAGTTCCTTTAGAGTGTGGTATCCTTGCCAAGCAACCATGGACCGCTGAATGAGGAGAATGTTCAGCCGCCCATCGCTGTATATTACAGTCATTTCAAGAATTTTTAAACTTTTGGTCGTATAACAGTGAACATATGATAACACAGCACTGTTTGATGTAAAGACATCGCTTTATAAGTACTTTTTGGTCCCCAAATTACAGCTGCAGGTCTTATTTAGCACCAATCCAGCGGCGTCCCTCTTCTCACGCTGGGGCTGAATCTCAAATAGCTCCCTGCTCCCTACATAGTGCACTACGTAGGAATTTGCAACGATGCAAAATATAGCTAAGAAATAGTCATTTGGGATTCAGACACGTCCACACTCGATAAATGATGCACTATTTGGCTGTTTAGGCTGGAATTTCTAAACTTTCATAGCTGGTACACTATTTAGGAAATACGGAGCTGTTTGGGATTCAGCCTGGGTTTGACGCTACTTCTGTCTGAAACATGGACATTTGATGGGTGTAAGTCATTTTTTTAGACTTTCATACTGTTGTTTTACAGTTAATCATACCGTACATGCTTTAATTCAATCCTGTGATATTAATGATGGACTTGTTTAGTATGTTTGCTATCTTTTAACCTGTTAGCTAGCTGATCAGCCTAGTTCTAGTTAAGAACATAAGTTGCCAGCCCCTCAGTTTAAACAAAAAACAGATTCTTACTTTGTCATTATGCTCGGAGGTCCAAGCAGCATGAGAGTCAAAGATTATTCCATTACAGCACAAGTTTTTTTTTCGTCCCGTGGTGCAGTGATACACAGTTCGGTTGTTGTCAGACAAAGATAAATTCTAATTGATTTCTGTTTTGATAGCATAATCAAGTTTAATCGAGTAATCATGACAGCCCTGATTTCAGTGCATGCAAACATTTACCATCAAGAAATTCTCATTAGATTCTCTCTCACATTGTGTAATAGCAGCTCTGAGAAACCATTGTTTCTGCTTTCAAGGCCTTTGAAATAAGCGCTGATGTAAAATGATGTACTTATGTTGGCAAACCATTGCTTTCCCCACATCTTTGCTTCACTCTTTGGCCCTGTGTGTATAAGTTGCCTTATTACACTGATGTAGAGCCAGTTTCCTCTTCAACAAACCTCTATTTTATCCACTTTAACAAGACTAATAAGACTGTACAGTTATCTCTTTGCTGGTGTTTTTGTAGAAAGGGCAGTTTCGCTTGGGGAAAAAAGTCTTTTCATCACTGGTCCAAATAAGCTTCTTATGAGGCAATTTCTGCTGAAACGTAGGAGCTCTTCTTAAAGCAAGTCTCATTAGCTGCTCTGGCGTGATTGGCTGGTAGCAAGCAAATTACAGCAACAAATGAGGCGGCCAAAGATCAGCAGACAGCTCACTGATAGAAAATGCACAAAGCAATCTCCCAATTAAGGCTCGCCTGGTCCCTGCCGCTGCGCCCATAATTGGCAAACAAAGACGGTCAATCAGGCGAAACAAACAAGCACCTCACTCCTCTGCTCCACTCCCCGAGCTCCAGACGCTCATTATTTCTCTCTCTTTCTCACAATCATTTACTTCTATTACACTCCCAGCTACTTAACATGTGACATGTCTCCACACAAGCTCAAGTCCAGCAGAGTGATAGAGTGTAAGGGTCAGTGGAGCGTGATATGATGGCCGAGGAGTTGGGCTGTGATCAAAATACAAATACGGCAATGTATCTTGTAGGGCTGCGGCAA